TTTTTGTAAGGAGATACTATTCATCGTTTCACCCTAATTAAGATAATACGGATATATTAAATCCTATATATATGTACATGTGAGAACCCCCTTAAAATAAGAACCAATCTTGCACCATCAATTATAAGATTATGGATGGCTGAGATTAATTATCACTTTCCCATGCATTTTCTTGGGAACACGCATTTCAGTCATTGGTACATGCTTTTTAATTTTTTTTCCTTATTTTCTGCATTGAAACAACGATTTATGTACTATAAAACCAAGAGATTCAGCCATTGAAGAGAGAGAAAATGGAAAATCTGGTTTCATTTTAATTTAGCCATTGAAGAGAAAGAAATGAAGGCAGATTTCAAATGAAGATTTCTCTCTCATAAAGAAAGCTTTTGAAGCGTTTTTTTTTTAATTTGATTATTTTTTTGTGTAGAATAAGCATACAAAATTTCATAATTTTGGGAGTTCGTTTGATATTTTTTTGGGTAGAATTTTCGAAGTAGTGCAAAAAATGAACAAATCTGGAAAGACAGATTTCAAATGAAGATTTCTCTCTCATAAAAAACCCTTTTGAAGCGATTCTTTTTTTGAATCTGCTTATTTTTTTGTGTAGAATAAGCATACAAAATTTCAGAATTTTTGGAGTTCGTTTGATTTTTTTTGGTAGAATTTTCGAAGCAGTGCAAAAAAAGAGCAAATCTGTATGTGGAATATCATTCAATTCTGGAACAAAATAAATAATATTTATGAGACAATAGTTCATATTTCTGGAACAATATAAATAATATTCAAATGAAATATTATATGAAACATCAATGATTTTTATGTATAAAACAATATCATTAGTATATGAAACAACACATATATTTTATGGAACATAAGCACTATAAAATGAAACATAAGGTATATTTTTTGAAACATCAGATAAGGTATAAGAAATCACAGTACACCTAGTTCATATAGAGCCCAACTGTATGAAACAAGCAATAATATATATGAAACATTAATATTATAAATTGAAACACTTGATATATTTTACGAAACATCATTAACGACGTACACTTCAACTACATTTTAACGTAACGTGTTTCAATGCAATAAATAATAAAAAGCATGTAATAATGACAGCTTTGGCAGATTTTGTGTCCCAATGCACAAAAATTTAAAAAAAAAATACAAACAATCATTATAATTAATGAAGGTGGCCCACGTGAATTCCCACTAATGAAACAATAAATCTGAACCATTCATCTAATAAAAATGAATGGTGTTAGATGAGTTCTCATTTTAAAATGGTTCTCACCGAAGCCATGGGTTCTCACATGATCCCATTTATATATATATATATATATATATATATATATATATATATATATATATATATATATATATATATATATTGTGTAAATTTCTTTATTATTACGTAGTAGTAAAGAAGTACTATATCTTTACAATATTTATAAGATGCCAACAATGAGGCTATCAATTGTCTAACACTCTAACCTTAGCAATTAATAAACAAATGATTGACTCCAATTTAAACTTTATTGACCCTTCGAAAAACTATGTGGTAAAATAATTAAACAAAATGAATATATAAATTTATTATTATTATTATTATTATTATTATTATTATTATTATTATTATTATTATTATTATGAGCAGCCGCACGAGCACCAATATCCTGAGTCCTAGCGAACGCCTGAACCTGCTTCAGCAATGCAATAGCATCCTTCTCCAATTCCCCCAATGAAGAAAAGGAGAAAGGAAGAAAACCATAGCCAATAGCCCTGCGACGCGCCCCATACTTGTCCCGCTTCCGCTGAGCCGCAGCCGACACGACACGACCAGGAACGAAGTCAGACAACCCAGATTGTGTCAATGGAGAAGACCCCGTCAAGTCAACACAGACATCTAGGCCTCTATCCCAAGAGTAAAGCAACACATCTGCTGGCCGAAGAGCCCCGTCGTTCCCTCCAGACAACCCAACGTCGACCTCCTTTCTTGCAGAAATCCCAAAGCGGAAACAAATATCAACAAGGGTATCACGAACAACGTTGTGCCGATGTTTAATACCCACCATCCCAGCACAAGACACTGCATGATCCCCATAAATATCCCCATCAAACACCCTTGAGAAGGTGCCGATACGGCAAACAAGGGAACACCCAACCGATAGCAAAGAACACAACGGTAAGTCTTACCATTCATAGTCTGACCCAGACCGGATATCGGGACCGATGTTTATTATTATTATTATTATTATTATTATTATTTTAGCCAATTCTACTTCACGTCATGAGTTTTGTATCTTTTCCCATACTTGATTGGAACTCACTTATTTAAAATATTTAATTTATAAAAAGATTCTGCTTATTATTCTATTAAATATCTCCAAATCACTACCTTTGATTTTTCAAATGAAAAATTGTATATGGAGTAATGTACCAATAGCTAGTGGGGTAGATTATGTTCTTTGGGCATGTGCTTATATAATACTCCATGCAATAATTTCATTGTTATAACAATAATTTCATTATTATAACATGTATCAAATATTCAAATGAAATTATTTATGCCTCTTCAACACAACGACAAATTTTAGATTTGATTATTAAACTGCCCATGAAGTTAATAATATCTTTTATAACAATTATGTAATGAATTTTCATGATAGATGAATGAGCCCTTTAAATGAAAAATCATTTTGTTGAGCATTTATGTATATAACAAATGAAAAATCATTTTGTTTTGGAGAACAAACTATCATCTATGAGCTCTAAAATCATTTGTAGTGTTTTTTTTTTTACACTCAATTATTTTAATTAAGTTTGCACCAGGAAAAAAAAAATTGTTTGGAATCTTCTTTTTTTTTTTCTTTTCAATTTACTTTTTTTTAAATACAAAAAACCATATGAAACAAGAAAAAGGTGTTTGTACTTTTTTGTTGCCTGTTTTCAAAATTATCACGATTTTAATAAGTTTGACTAATTTTTTATTCATTATATGATAATATCATATGTTTTGAAAAACATAAAACTAAAAAACAGAAAACCACAACGATACCAAATGAACCTTAAACTATTCAATTTGTTTTTGATAAATTATAATGTATATGTGAGAATCACAAAAAGTAGATATCAAGTTTTTATTGTTAGTTGACATATTCAACATGACTTCTATAAATATATATGAATATTTAATTTTTTTTCACTTTTATTTTTATATATATCCTATATATAATCTATAATTTATAGTAATGTATTAAAAAACAAACCTGAAATAGCTTAGGAGTTATGTGACATTCTCCTTTTGGATGTATTATTCCATGTCATTTCATATACAAATATACAATTAATCAGAACATGTGAACATGTTATTATTTGATCTCGTTACCTCAAGTTTAATTAAATGTTCAAGCCTTAACCATTAAACCATGCTATAATTGAATCAGATTATCACCTAGGTCTAAAATGTTGTATAACTTTTTAATTTGTAAAGCTAACAATTTGAAACTAACATTAATATCATATCAAACAAGCATATACTATATACAGTAGATAATAGCAAATGGACAAAGATTTCATTACTTATAAATTTAGTAGACGGTAGTAAACAACCTTGAATGAAGACAATAAATTTTGAAGTAATTTTTTGGGATATTCACTTGTTAATATAATGTGTTTATGGTATGTATGTATATTTTGCATCTAGTGCTTGTCTTTAATTTTAAAACTAAAGGCGATATAGGGTATACAATCACAAAGAAAAAATCTAGAGATTAAAGAACCAAAGAAGTATTTTACTAAGACTCTTGTGACAAGACTTCTTTAATCTTTATAAAATTACCTAAATATTCATTATGTCTTCGTTATACATTTTTTTTAACGGTTATCATTTATCAATATATGGTTAACACAAATTCTTACATGTGACAAACCACACCATGTAACCAGTCATTATAGGGATTACTTTGTTAGTGTAATAGGGGTTACTTGGTCAGTGTTATAGGGTTACTCGGTCAGTGTTATAGGAGTTACTCAGCTAGTATTACAAAGCTTACTTGGTCATTGTTATAGGGATTACTTTGTTATAAAAGTAGTCATATTGTTATAGCCTTATAGGAGTTACTGAGCTAGTATTACAAAGACGGGCTGGCTTGTTAATATGCTTAATTTAATTTTCAAATAAAATACTTATAGATGATAATTATTGAAGGGGTGTTGTAAATGAATGAGTAAATGTTAATGCGAGGATTTGAACTTAATTAATGGTTGATCAATTAGCAATTAGTATAGCAAGAATCCGAATCCGAAGGCAATCAAGGCATGGAATGTAGGCCAAGGCTTAGCCAATGTTGGCACTACATGAAACTACATACATTAAAACAGTGAGTTGTGCTTGGCCAAGGTTTAGTCACAAATGTATGGTACGAGGCCAATCTAGCATACCCTACTTCCATCTCTTAAAACAATATTACGTCACCTTTGAATATAGGAAGTATGTTCCAACTTTCAAGGCATGCTTAAATATTACATATATTCATAATAAATAGAAATTCGATTAATCGATACATATGATTTGAAGTAATTTATTATCTTCCACTCTGTATTATTATATTACATATTGTTTTCATATTAAAAACATTACTTTTATATTTCTCGAATTAAAAAAAAGTTCAAGGTTATTAATTTAGAATACAAACAATAATCTCCCGGTAAAATTTGTTCCACATATCAACCCTAAAAAAATAAACTCAACAATAGACTTACGGAGTATTATTTAGATTTGTAAAAGAGCAAATATCCTTATCGTTATCATCACTCAATCACTTCTACAGAGTCTAACCCGCAACAGACAAATGAAAAAACTCGTGTCGCAATACTTATGATCTAAGGTCATTCACCTTACCTATCCTACATTCCTACACCCTAAATTTGGAAAGAACCCCCCAATAATGATGCAAAAATGGACTTAACTTAAATGGCCTACCACACCACATTACAAAGGAAGAAGGGTAAGTAGTAACTGATTGATTAGTCGTATGCGTCACCAAACTACACAACAAGAGAGAGAAACAAGTGAGAGAAAAGTGTATGTGGTAGTCCTATAAATTCCAAAGGCATTGGAGCAACACACTTTTCCAATTCAGAAACCCTTTTTTTCAATATTTTTGCTTTGGTTTTTTCCTGCACAATTAAAGATCCTACCTTTCTTACTCCTTCAACTGATTTCGATGAGGTAATGCATTCCTCTGGATTCCTGATAAAATTTGGTTCATTTTCTTGTATAAATCAATTTATCATCACATAATTTCTGGGTTTTTGATTTAATTTGTAATTTGTAATTTTATGTTTATATCACTCAAAAAGACTATAACTTTGCCTTGTTGTTCATTGTTTCTTTGAATTTCTGGATCTATTGTTCATTGTATTGCTGATAGTTTGAGACCCAATAATTGAGTGTAATTTATGTGATTATTCACAAAATAATTCCCTTGAATAATTTAGAATTCTATTAAAATTTTACACAGAAGAAAATCAATTGAAATTATAGAAGTAATGTTAAATTTTGTTAATGTATGTCATTTGAAGTTGTAAAATTTGCTTGATTACAAAAGTGATATGCTATGATATGAGCCTTATGACTGCTTAAATTTCCACCGTGGATTTTCTGCTATAAGTTTGTTGTTGTTTAGGTATGCATTATTAATTTATTTTAACTGAGATCCGACCCAATTACTTAATTGCTAATAAAGCCCGAAACCTCATTCGGTTTCTTACAAAACCCAACCCATATTTGTCGGGGTGTCCATCATACACCCGGATGTAAAATTATAACCTCTCACATTTTTGAGTTCACATGCTTCGCAAATGAGCATGTGAACTTTTTACCCCTATATGATAGGGTGTAAGATAGAAAATATACATTCATGTTATATTTTGGCCTTAATTGGAATCGAAGCGAATGGTGGCGTTGCCCCGTTTGCCAGGATTGCTTCCTTGTGTTTCAATGATGGGCCAAACACGATCATTAGCTCAAAAAAGATGAATTAAGACTTTGATTTGTTGTCTATCACATGAAGATGACTTAAACCTGCCCAAACAAACAAGATATAACTAATTACCTGTCCAATTGATACATCATGTTAGTAGATATGTCTTCCTACTTTCAGATTTGGTCTTGGATAATGATTGATTTTGATTTTTAACGTCTTAACACGAAGCCAAGTCTAGTCATCTTCTTTTTCATTTGATATGCTTTTTGACAAGGTGTTTTTTGGATGATGGCAACTTGTTTGATTGGAAGAACTCATAAATCAATTTTTAAGTTTTAGTTAATTAAATAGGTGTTGGAGATAATTTTTAGACCATTTTTTGTTATATTTGGTTTGATTTTGAATCTTTAGTAGGCCACCACACATTTTGGACCACATAGGAGCTTGGATGCATTGATAATTTTTGAGGTTCTCTCATTTTAGGATTTTTTTTAACTGATAAATTTTGTGTGATATACAATACTCTGAACTAATTTTATTAGACAGTACATTCGATTAAGATATTTGTAAATTGAAATTATAAAAACAATACTATTCCCATCATAAATGGTTGTAGCGTCTTGTGTAACAATGTAGTGAGATATTCATGCTTTATGCTCATATGTTCACACTCTGTACTTTTTAATATGACTTTACAATTGATTATAAATAGTTAATTGTATTGTGTTTGAGAAATGACGTCGTTGGCAATATTTGTACTTCGCATATAAAATTTTTTCTGGAAGTGCTGTTGGATTGTTTTATTTTAGTAACCAAGAGTTATTACTTTTATAGATGTTAGCCCCATAGATGTTTCAACCATTACTATCTGTCTCAATGCCCGTATAGAATTCCTGGATTTTAAGTATGGTCACAAAGTAAAGCTGAGAGGTGGAGGAATAATCTATTAGGTGTAAATTAAAGTGAACCCTCCCTTGTTTTTTCCATGAATTCCATCTAAGACAAATTAATATACTTCGTATATGTTTTGGTTTCAACAACACAACCTGCTATTTAGTGACCGTTTCTTTTGTAGGTTTTTATTTCATTTACACATCTGTTACTATTCTTGAGTGGCAGTCTGGTTGTATGGCTAACTAACCTTAAGCTTGTGAATATATTATCCCTTTCTTGTTTAATTGAGTTGGATTATTAAAAAAATTTAGGGTTACCTTGGCACCATGTCAACTGTGTTACTTATTTACAGAGTAAAGAAAATTAGAATTAAATGATTAGAATATATTGCTGTTTAGGTATGTAGGGTAACACCACATCAGCGCTTATACTGTGACGCATAAATTCTGTATATTTTGTCGTAATTCTGCTCACAATTTCTCATACTTGTAAGTATCCTTTACTCGTTTAGGATATACGTAGTATCTGATATCATTACATAACTTTGTACTATAGAATAATGCTTGTTTGTATTCAATTGCTTGTTTGTGTACTAGTTGATTTGTTGGAAATGATTTGAGTATTTAATGTAGGAAAACATAAGCTTTGGATTAAATTTATTAAAATACTGCACTGTTTATGATTTTCTTTTTTTCTGTTTATTTTGATTGCCAATATCATAAGAGTTTTGATTGAATCCAGTAGATATCTACTGTTGATTGTGCTTGATATTCTGAAGTATGTCAATTAACACTGAGCTGACAAAACCTTCTAAATGTGCTTTGCAGGTGAACTAATCCGTATTTCAATTGCTGCACAACTGTATCATGTTGTAGCACTGAAATCCCGGTCTTTGTCCACAACATCCATCTTTTTAGCTAATCTTTAGTCAACTTTTGGAATCCCAGTTTTTCCAAAATACATAGGGAATGCTGCAAGATGTGCTTGACTTCTAAGTATTCTCGATCTAAACCCACCTTGTTTAGAGCTCTGTTTGAGCTACCATTATCGGAAATCAATAAGTATAAGCACATCGATTGCTGTTCTTTGTGTTTTGAGTTTTACTTCCCCACTGTTGCCAAGAATGTCGAAGACTATCTTGTTTCTACATATGAGCTTTGCGAAGATGGCTGACTGATTCTTGGTATTGCATTTACTATAGAGTAAGAATATTAGATACCGCTCTGAAATAAATAATAATCAATCACTTTAAAGATGGAGCAAAACAAAATCACCATCTTGTTGCAGAAGTATGAGCTAGGAAAGCTACTTGGACAAGGAACATTTGCAAAGGTGTACTATGCAAGAAACATCAAAACTGGTGCAAGTGTTGCGATAAAAGTAGTTGACAAGGAGAAGGTTTTGAAGGTCGGGATGATTGAGCAAATTAAGCGGGAAATTTCTGTCATGGGACTTGTGAAGCACCCAAATGTGGTGCAGCTGTATGAAGTTATGGCCACCAAAACCAAGATCTATTTTGTCATGGAATACGTCAGAGGAGGCGAGCTGTTCAACAAAATTGCTAAAGGCAAGCTGAAGGTGGATATTGCACGGAAGTATTTCCAACAATTAATATCAGCTGTTGATTACTGTCATAGTAGGGGTGTTTACCATCGAGATTTGAAGCCAGAAAACCTTCTGTTAGATGAAAATGAAAATCTTAAGATCACAGATTTTGGGCTGAGTGCTATTGCTGATACCAGAAAGCAAGACGGTTTGCTTCACACCACCTGTGGGACCCCTGCCTATGTTGCTCCTGATGTTATTCTCAGGAGAGGCTATGACGGAGCAAAAGCTGATATTTGGTCGTGTGGGGTAATCTTGTTTGTTCTGTTGGCAGGATATCTCCCGTTCCAAGATTCTAACTTGATGGAAATGTATCGAAAGATTGGAAAGGCAGAGTTTAAATTCCCTAATTGGATTCCCTCAGATGCACGACGATTACTCATCAAGATCTTGGATCCAAACCCCAAGACACGGATCTCAACAGCAAAGATCATGGAGAATTCTTGGTTCCGAAAAGGGTTTGATTCTAAACTCTTAGAAGTTAGGCCTGTAGTTAATGATATAAAGCCTGATATACTAGATGTTGATGCTATCTTTGGGCCTTCTGAAAACCTTGAACCAAAGCAAGAAGATACTCAGCCTTGTTATAACCTGAATGCATTCGATATTATCTCCTTCTCAGAGGGGTTTGATTTATCCGGTTTATTCGAAGAGAAGAGCCAGAAAAAGGAGGTTAGATTTTCTTCCTGTCAATCTGCTTCAACAATCATATCAAAGCTGGAGGAAGTAGCTCTGAAGTCAAAGCTAACGGTGAAGAAGAAAGATGGAGGGCTCATGAGATTTGAAGGATGTAAAGGGAGGAAAGGGGTTTTATCTTTCGATGCTGAAATATTTGAGGTTACTCCAACCTTTCATATGGTGGAGCTGAAGAAACGTGGCGGGGATTCGTATGAGTATCAGAAGGTTGTAAAGCAGGAGATGCGACCAGAACTCAAGGATATTATTTGGACTTGGCAAGGTGAGCAAGAAGCACAATCTTCACCTGTGCTCCCATTGCCTTCACCTTCTTCAGACGAGTCCTAGATTAATGTATCTTGGCTTTAGTTCTTTCTTGAAAAATTTCGTACTGTTGGTGTTTACATGCTAACTAGCTGAAGTCTTTGGGGTTTAATCCCCCTTGTATCTGTTTACTTTGATAGTAATACTTGTGGGAATATGTTTTAAATACTCAAGTAAATATGTGATTCCCATAAGTGACGTGTTTATGATCTGAAAGATTGCTTAATCTGAACTGATTCTGAAATCAATCTGCACAAAGAATATGAACTTGAGATGCAGTTGATCCTTTGTCTTGTTACTACCTCACCTATATGGTGCTTCGGCAAACGCAGGTGTGATTTTATTATGTACCTCTTGGGGTGAGATACTCGATACTCTTAACATGGTTTACATGGTATGAACACCTGAAACTTCATTTTCACCTAAACAACAACAATAACAAAGCCTTAGTCCCAAAATGATTTGGGGTCGGCTAAAACATTAAAGTACTTCATAATAGCCCCTTATGTTGTGCCTATACCTTGAAAGTCTGATTTACCACAAAGCTGATCAGGATATATAATACTCTGTATTATGTCGGTTTTTTTTTGGCATTGGCAACACATCAAACCTTGAAAACTAAGTGAGTCGAGATAATATGGCAGGAGCGAAATTTGAGCAAAAATCATCAGTATAACTTGGAAGTATATCAACTATAAATACGTACATTCAACCTTCGAAGCCAAATTGAGTGAATAATCATATGAAAAACATCGAATCTCTTAGGAGGATCGTTCATTACAAAATGGCGTTGTACTTGCCTCACACCCTCCAGCATTTGCAAATACTTTTCATAAGGTATATCCATCAATATTTTCTTCAGGTTTGGGATTTCACTAACTGAAACATGGACCAAAAATGTGCTCCAATCAAGAACATCACTAAAAGGAAGGATATAATTTTGAGAGATTAAAACTGGCACACATTCAGCATAGATAGCCTCCACAATTCGAGGGCTAGCAACCTCGAATCCACTTGGGCAAAGACAGAACTTGCTTCTCTTCATCATTTCCTTATAAGAAAGTTCCTTCGGAAGCTCTTCATAAACTTGCAAATCCTCATTTTTGCCCTTCCAGTGAGTAAGGAGCGCGGGCCTAATATGGCCATGCATCCGTCCTGCAAAGAATGCAAGGATGGTACGATTTGAAGGGGGTGTTCCGCGGTTTAGGCCAACAAATTCGCCACTTGCTATATTGATTTCTGGGATTGATACATCTTTTCTTGGATTGAAATTCTCTGATGTGTTCGCGTTGCATAATGCTCGAATTGAATGGAAGTACAATATTGGATGGTACCATGTTGCTCGCGGCCCCTGCAAGTAAAACATGCTTGATTATTTTGTGTCACTGCTTAATTATCTAAGTTATGGTGATTGCAAAACATACATATACTTCAGCTATTTTACATCAATCTCAATACAAAGCTGAAATTTGTTGACTTTAACTTGGAAAGTGACCATCTATATAATTGATTTATGACTAATACATTTAAATTGTATGTGCACTGTCCTAAATGTAAATGTAATGAATGTGTACAATAATTTTAAATACGTCATGTATGGTAGTCTATCATAACATTAACAACCGACAACTTATACTATGATATATAAAGACATGGTAAGATTGGTAACACTATCTCGTTTTCAATCATCTAGAGCCAATCTATCCAACCCTAGACAACATCTATCGTTACATGATTCCATTTCGACCTAATCCATCCAACCCAAGAATGATAGTGACTAAGACTTAATTTGCCACGTTTCTTAACTGATACTCACATTTATATCTATATATTACCATAAAAATAGCAAATAAGTGCGAAAAGTCAAAGTATATCATGTAAATAGGGATAGAGAGAGCAGTACAAAGTTTGAAATCATACCCAATCATGGCAAGAAAGCATGAAGTGATCGGCTCCAAGACTCCTATTCCAAAAAGGGTACTTGTGTGATATGATATCCACATAATCAAGAATTGTGCGCTCTAAAACAGCCTTGTCACGTACAATTGGATCGAAAAGGTGTTCAAGTATCATAACCACACTAAAGGGAAGAAAATAAACATGAGCTTCATCTTGATCATTTGTCCTAAATTGATTGTTCTTCTCTATCAAATTCATGAAGATGCCTTCCATTGAGTATATACCTTTGCATGGACCATGATGAAATAAAGGTGGCTCCCCTTCTTCATAGATATAAATCTTGAACATCTTTTCCATTAATAAGTAGCTCCTATGAACAAGATCGATGAAGATGATATAGTGCTTAGAATAAACATTATATTGAATAAATGTTATTGAGTGTGCGTCGTGCGATACCAAAAGGTTGTAATAATGGCCTGGAAATGATTCACATGTAATGCTATTCGCCGGAAAGTATCATGCCAATGTTAGGCCTTGTTCGTTTAGACTTATTTTCAATTTAATTCAGCTCAGCTCAACTTAGCTTATTATTACTAGTATTACTACCAGTATTATTAATATTACTATCACCATGAGAAAAAGGTTGCCCTAGTGGTAGTAGGTCCTCCTTCCACCACAAACAAGTAAATTCCCTAATTTTCCCAAAACATTATTATTATTCTTGTTGTTGTTGTTGTTGTTGTTTTGACTAATTGATTGGCCGTATGAGCTGCTTCTACTTCGGCTAGTTGCTTATATTAATTATTTGTATAAAAGTGTTGGTAAATAGTTGTTATTTGATACCTTCTTTATTCTATATAATGACCAATAAAAATATATGCATACTTTATTATTAGCTTAAGCAAATTTGGTAAAGGTAGTAAATATGATCAATTTTAGGATATTAAGTCATTTTCCCTCAACTACCACAAACCCCTATAACCAAAAGGCTCATATTATTAGCTTTTCCAAAATAAGCTTTTTGAACCCAAATTCTTGTCTTTTGCCTCAAGCCTCACTTCTTTTCCCAAACCTCTACAAACCAAAGAACTCCTGAAAATATTAAGGTAATCACCTTAAAATCGTCACGCCAAGACCTTTTTATAGTGATCAAATAAATTTTGATCACTATAAGATAGATGACATTAAAAGTGGTCTCTTTAATTTTACCTTTATTTTTTTTACAAAACAAAGATAAAAAATGAAAGTAATTATGTGGCCTTCATTATGTCTTGTAATCAATGTTATGGTGATCAACCTTTACTTGATTACCATAAAAAGTTCCGCTCATAAAATATTTTCTATGATACAATAATTAACTAAAAGTTGATCACCATAAGGGTAATGATGACATGGCAGCATACAAGTCGCATTTTGAAAGTGTGTTATTTTACATTAATTTTTTTCCAAGGAATCTTTTCAATGAATTTAATTTAATTGTTTGAATCCCAAAAAATAATTAGGGAAATTGTTATTAATAAAAACAATATATATATATATATATATATATATATATATATATATATATATATATATATATATATATATATATATATATATATATATATATATATATATATATATATATATATATATATATATATAAGGTAAAATAAGAGAAATTATATTGCTCTTATCATGAGTTCATGACACAACATCAACTTTATGGTGATAAACTTTTTACTGACCACCATTAAAAGATCCGGGTTTAAAATTTCATGAGCTGGTGAGCTGATCTTTCCATAGTGATCAACTAAAAATTCAACCGGGATAATTTTATCGTAAAAATTGATTTCTAAACCCAAACATTAAATAGTCAATGATGCAAGTATGCAACCAAGTCAGCCAAATTATCTTCCACAAATATAGCTACAACTTAATTCCATTATACGTTTTCTGGATTATGTGGCGGGCCATGGCCTGGGCTGGCCACCCCTGGATTCGTCCTTGGTTGCCGCATAAAAGCCATATACTTTTTTTGGAGAAAAGCGAAAGAGAGGGTGGTAACTAGTACCAACGCATTGATCCTTGGACCTAGACTTTAGAGGTTTCATTCTCTTACCACTAGTCCACAAGGAAAGCTGGTAAAAGCCATATATTTGGGTGTGTTCTATTTACCTGATTTTTATTTAAACCCTTATTTGGGGTTTTATTTTTTTTCCCCGGAAAATTGATGAATTTCCAACAGCTAGTTAGCATTTTTACATTTGAGAAATCCTACGTATTGTAGAATATAGATGGAAAGTGAAGAAGTTCAAGTGAATTATGTGTAGAGTAGGGGTCAAATGCACGTAGCACATGGCATTAATTGCTGCATAAATCAGGTATTGTCAGCCTAAATAAATTTCTAATCGTCAATATTGACAAACATTAATTAACATGAATTCCAATCCCAAGTTTCAATGCAAATGAGTTAAGATTTTCTGTCTTCAAGAATTTATTTAATCTTGCTTTAGGCTTTTTTTTTTTTTTTTTTTGACAAGAACTTTAGGTTAATTTAGTGGAAACATAGTTTTCTAAAAAAACCCATGTTTTGCAATGTATACAGTACTCACTTTTCTTGAATACTTAGTGAAAAAAGTAAGTACTCGTTTTTACAAACATAATAAGATTAAACACTTATTTTTATTGTACTTCACTCATTGCATAGTTTTAAATTTTTTAACCATTACCATATTCAATTATCAATGAATAAAAACTACAAGTATATCAAATATTTGATATACGTAGTATTACTCCATATTCCATTAGAGTTTAAAAATTTATGCTAAGTTGTAATTTTAAATTAAAAAGTTTAAAACATTAGTAAAAGTTGTACTCCGTATGTGTTTTCATTAACGACCAACTTAAATTAATGTATAACGATCTTATGTTAAGAAATGAAACTAGTATTCGTACCGTTTAAAGGCGAAAGCATTCTTGTATATGTTGACATGAGGTCGTACATCATCATCTTCAAGAGAAATGACATTTGACGAATTATTGCTACTTTCAAATGCTTGTTTTATCAAAATTCTTGCTCTTGTAAGTTCTTCTTCCATATGTTCTACCTTTTCATCTTTCTTTCTTCCAATTAACACTTTATCAATCTCATCACGCAATTTCTTCATCGTTCTTTGCTTTTTCTCCTCCTAGAAAAACATAGTAAGATACATTAACAACCAAAGTAATGCAAGAAAATAAATTTTGAAAATATAAAATTTTAAAATGTAATATATCATCTTGTTTATTTGATACATAAATTATATCTTAGAGAATAATGATATGATAAACAAATAAATATAGATTATTCATATATACTATATTTGAAATCATACTAAAGTGATTTATTTTCTATAAAAAGACAAGAAGCACTACATGTATACAAGATTGTGGAGAACCAACGAATCTTTTTTGCAACTTTTAAGGATACAACCCTTTTTTTTTCCGAAGGAAAACCTTTTAAGGATTCAACTTTAAGAAACCTAAATAAATTCGAGATAATCAAGTACTTACAAAATATAATATAATTCCGAAGAATATAATTATATATTAACAATTCAACTTGAAGAAACATACATATATTTGTGATAATTAAGTATTTACAAAATATTGTCAAAACATGCCATGATTCTGAAGAATATAATTATGTATACATGAAAACGAACTTACGGATTTTGATAGAGTAGAAGAATTGTGAATAACGGCAAGAGAATGCACCAAAGAATCATACGACGACGACGGTGTAACTCCATGAACAATTACACTATTATTTTGAGTTGAATTTGTACTTGTTGTAGGCCAAAACCAAGAAGATGATGTAAAATAAAAGAAATTTGAAAAAGAATTTGAACCTTTTGATTGAAAAATGATAGCAACTAATGCTAAAATAGCTAATATTGAAATAATGATACGTATATTTTTGGTGAAAAATGAACTCATTATAGTTTTCCTAGCATTACTCTGGCTTTCTCATTTTATTGCTCTTTTAAAAAACTATTGATAGAGTTTGTACGATTAAATTAGAGCCATTGTTATTAATATATTCTAATTTAGTACATCATTAATTAATATCAACTTTAGTAATGGTAATTAATTAATTATTAATAGTAACAATGGTAAGAAGGTATTGACTGTTCGATTGGATCTACTTAAATTTCCTGACAATTAATTAAAGACTTTTTTTGGAAGAAATTAAATTAAATGTAGTACGTACTTTGATTTTTGGGGAAAGGAGTCATTAAAGAGTTAGACAAAAACTTGTCGGTAGGACTTCCTTCGAGAATAGTTTAGACATTGACATTTTTTTTTATGTTCTCATTTAGTAGCCGATAATCAAGGGTAATAACAAAAGGATTGGATTTTTATGTTAACTAGAGGTGTTAAGGTGACTAGGATCCGCTAAACAGATTAGGTTTAACTCGGGTTTGAACATCTTAAAATCATTATTTTCATGCAAATCAATATTTATATTGAATCACTTTCGAATTAGGTCGGGTCAAATTTAAAGATAACGATAATAAGTAAATAAAATGGTAACAGGATCGATGCACGTCAATGTTGGACTGTAGTGGACTGGTGAAACCGCGCATAAGTGCTTAATAAATGCCTGATAGTCTGAAACTTTGCACGCCATGCTACATTTGTGCGTCCACGCAAATACGCAATTGTTGATTAGCGCTGGATGTTGCAATGCACAACCGCAGAAGGTTGCACTAATTCGTTGTCACTTAATTTTTATTTTTTTCATTTTTCTTTTGTAGCTTGTACTCATATAAATGTTTATGTAATAATTACAAGTATTGTGATCATGATTAATTATAAATAATGACGAACGTATTTGCATAATTGTAGCGTATTATGCTTGATGATATAGTTATTTCTTTCGTCCACTGTTGAGAAACATCCACCTTTCAGTTTTCCATTATTTACACAATAGTACTATACACATAGTGAGTACTCTGTATAACTTAAGGGCTGGACTTGGATGTTAACTTCTGTTATCTAAAAAAACCCTAAATCATTGAGATCATTACAACCAAAACGAGATAGATTAATCATCTCAAAGATTATAATTATTAACAAACAGAAGACAATGATCTTAGTATGATCTAATCTAGTATGATACGACATCTTTCTGATAAGATCCTAAGTTGAAGAGCATATCTGAGCATAGTCTAGTAGTAGACGGTAAGGACCATGGTTAATTCCCGGTTGGTGGCCTTGGTTCACAACTAATAGGCCTTGGTAGTTGGTGCACAACTAATAAACAAGTACTTTATCGTTGGAATTTCTTGATTCTAAGAGCTTATGCAACCTTTGGTTCATTCAGATATCAGAGCCTAAAACATGGGCATGGCCACATAAAACAAATTATTATTAAAGCTAATAATCAAGGTGGGGAATCATTGTCCAACACCGCTATCGATAGGATGGGGATTGCATCATTTAGCAGCTCATAGGCACCAACTAAGGAGGCTATATGTGAATGAATTGCTAGACCTATGTACACTCATCAGCCCGATATCATATTAGTTACAAAATTAGGGACCTTTGTGCATAAGAACCTATCTAATTATCTCAAAATAAAATGAAGCGAGAGCCAAAATTGACAAGAAGATAATGGAACAGATATGAACTTTCCTGCTCATAGACATGGAGTACCATTGAACATGGGAAGGGGCCAAAAGTAGTGATCTTACCAACATTTTTTTCCCGCGGATGCACTAAAAGCATGCATGCCCTTTTTGTATTCCTAACCCATTGCTAATGTAAGTAAACATCGATCATCCTTACAAGAGGGATGATACAATGCTTCCAGTGTGTCTGAAGTGCCCTCAAAAAGAGGCTGGCAGCCTCATCAAGAACATGTATACTAAAAAGTACCCTCGTAAGTTTTCCTCTCTGTTTTTTTTTTTTTCTTTTCCCTTTTGTTCTTTTTGCTTTTTCTTTCATTCAAATGACCAAAGTGAATGTACATTTGGGGATGAATATAAACCACCAAAAGGAGATCTGACAATAGATGGGTTTGTAACACCTTCTCCGATGCCCTGAACAGACCATTCATTCCTGCTACAAGGAAAAATTAACATTGTCAATTAGACAACCACCCGAAAGCAAGCAATATAAAACAAGAGAGAATGAGCATAGCAAACAACAATAAATATCATGTCTTATGTCAGTCGTAACTGCTTGCAGTCTATATAAAGGCATCCAACCAGTATTTTGCAAGCCCAAGAGATTTTTTGGCAACGCTTCCATCTTCTTACCCCTTCTTTTGCTTGAGACCAGGGGTGCAGACCTAATGGGGTTGGTGTCTAAAAAAGTTAAAACAGGAATCTTGTTTGAAAATTTCTAGAGGGAAAGCTGAAGTACAACCTCAGCAGTGAGTAGACAGTAACCAGTACTCCTAAAATTTTGGATTACTTAGCAATAAAATGGTTGAACCACATGCATATATTGCTCTGCCCAGCAATGAATGTCAAGCACATCCCTACTAAATAATGTAAGTATGATAACCAAAACTGCATTTGACTTGTGCTTGTCCACTTAATGACACATCTCAGTAGTATAAGAAAGCACCACTTTGCCCAACGTAAAGGCCAATCAAAAACTAAATAATGTAACAGGTCAGTAACCCCATAAAGTTCCCACCCTGACCAACACCCCCCCCCCCCTCCTAACCAAAATTTGTCTATTGATTATGTCAAAAAAGAATATTTCCTTCAACAAAAAATTGACAGTTCTCATTTTGAGGCACTCAACTTTATCAGAAAAGTAACCACAACTTTAAAAACAACTGTTGACCACAACACTAATAGAATACCCAAGTTTCACCAATATTTTACAATCAACTCAAACATCATCCTGACCAAACATGATACTTCCTCTGTTTTTTTTAGATGCATCACTTTTGTAATTGCGGACTCCTAGACAATTTTTGGAGTAGAGAGAGAGATAGAGAAAAATAAAGAAGGCCCATGTGATAGGAGAGAGTTAGAGAGAATTTATTAACTAAAAGGGAAAGTAATGCATCTAAATTGAAACTTCCATTTATAGAAAGTGATGCCTCTAATAAAAAACTTCCATTTATAGAAAGTGATGCCTCTAATAAAATACAGAGGAAGTACTTTGTTTGACGACTTGAATTAAATATAGGGAAAACACCGATGGATTAAGGTATTATGATCATTTCTCCAAGAGCTGATTTCACGAGCAGAAAAAACTGATTAACCAAAAGAGTTTTCAATAGACAAATGTCTTGACTTTGGTTAACAAAAATCTTAATCAAATGTCTAGCGGCAATAAGTCATATATATACTATTTACTTGCCTTCAAATCATTAAAACATTAAAGCAAGGAAAACAGAGGCGATATGCAACTGTATTAACACTAAAACGTTGACTTCATTTAACCCCTCCCTTTCTCTTTAAGGCCCTAGGCAAGAGCCTCATTAAAGGCATGGGGACACAGGTTACTTGGTTAGGTATGTTTAAAGTTTAAAGAGGAAAAGTGACAAGCATGAAAAGACAAGGCATCTTTCAAATAATTGATGAAATATATTTCAGACTTTGATGCTGCCAATAATAGTTAAAATCAAATTTTTATTTTCCTTTTGGTAACTACTACTAATAGCCACTAATAATGTAAGTCCAAAATATTTTCTTGCATTTTTCTTAATGTTAATGTCCCAAAACTTTTTTACATTTTGGGGTAAAAAACACCTGGTCATTTTCCCACAATACCCTGATGGGCACAAACTCAATCGTACTTTGCCTATATAAAATTATAACTCCCACTTTTAGTTTTAATTACTTCAACTATCAAATCCTATATTCTAGCCTTGATATGTAATAACCTACTGTGAAACCCAGCAAGGGCTGCAGGGAGGAAGTTATAATTCTTAAATTGGATGATATGTAATCCCTCAGTATCAAAATTTTCTGTTCTCCACTTTCTTTTTTGGTTCGTCTCAAACTTTTCTCAAGATTGGATAGTATTGAAGTTAGCAATCTTAGCATTCTAAAAGGAAGGAGGTGCAAGATAGGGGATCAAGAGCAGAGTTGTGACTCATGGTGCGGCTGGTAGTTTTAACATTAATTTAATCAAGACAATAGGACAAACAATAGTCATCAATCTTATGGAAAATAAAGCATTGAACCTAGATCCATATCATGGCTATCCATCTAAGCAGCTTAAAGCAATAATGCAATATCTACATGCTACTGAGAGCTGGCATCCCCAACTTCAAATATCAGGAGGGTCATTCAGGTAAATGGCCCAAGCAGGAAGAAAAACCAAATAACCAGTTAAAATAGCTCAGGATTTCCAAACACAGATAAAAGAGTGACTTTCATTGGTATCCTTTGCTATCCCACAATTTAAAGTTTTAATAATCAGAGCAAAGAAAAATTCATTTGGTATCTTTTGGGCAAACACAATTTTCTTGTTAACAAGTCCAATCAGGAAGAGATCAAGGAGGGAGGGAGAGTAAAGGATGTTTGTTTTACAAAAAGGAGGTGAAAACAGAAATCAGAGGAAACAAAAAGGAAGAGCAAATTCATCCTACCCATTAGTTATTTAGTTCAATTTTAAAGGAAGATAAACCTATTTTGCTTTTCCTACTGCTTCATCAGCTTTCAACTTACACTGTACATAACAATACCAAAAATGAAGAACATCTTTACAACACCTAAATCGCAAAATTATTTCTGCCCTCAACCGCCATTGCCTTGTAATCAGTCCCAACCATCTCCACCAACTCCACTCTCACCTCCTTACCAAAAACCAAACCAAACGGTAACCACAACCTCTTTTCCCTCCTAGCCTCCCATACCCTTCCTAGTCCCCTCATTTCTCATAACCTTTACTTACTACACAACAACCACTTTTCCCTCATAGCCTCCCATACCCTTCCTAGTCTCCCCATTCTCATATCCTGAACTTATTACACAAGGCAATTCCAAACAGAAGGATGGTGTGTTATTGACAATTCCATCCTCCTTTCCCCTGAAACAGATTAAGCGAATGGGAGGTCCGTAATGAGTTGGTTGAAAGTTTTGACCTTCAAAATAGAGCATATGTCATGGTAACCTTGGCCTTCACCAACCTCTGACGTTCAAATTCAAGAGAGAAAGAAGATCAGCCTAATTTAAAAAATAATCAAGTAATTGATGAAATCTCAATCTCCACTCAAACCTTTTGTCCTTTTTAAAATGATTTTATATATTTGGGTTAGGTTTTGGAGCTTGCATTCATTTTGAGTAGTTAAGAAGATTTTCTCATATATATCATAATTTGAATTTCATATTATTATTTTTGAATTTCTTCTAAAGTCAATTTATTTGTTATATGAAAAATATGGGTTGAAAATTCTCGAACACCTTAAATGGTAGTCATATTTAAGAAATTGGTCACCATACTCTTTTTGACTGTCCAAAATTTGGAGTAAAGTGTTGGATCCTTCGACACTGGATCGACAAAACACCCAAATCTGAGTCGGGGTAGCATATCTTCTAAACAACCAACCCCCACTGTCTTGATTTTTATATTCACCTTTAATCAATCGAACTCCATAATCATATTATTGTGTTCACCTTTGTACAAACTTGTGCAAAAGGAAAATGGGACTTCTAATTGGGAACAAAAGGAGTACTTAATATTACTAGTAGATATTATGCAATAACAACTAAGAACCAGGATATCAATTATAACTCATCACACCACAGAGCAACATGAAGCAAGCATACCATTTACAAGGCAGTCAGCTGGCTGCACAACTGCTCATCATGTGCTAAGACGTAGCAGGGACCAAGAAGCATGGGTCGATTATGGATACCAATATAACTACTCACAGCATTTGTTCAAAGCACTATAGTCATGGCATCTTCTCACTGTCTGCTGTACAATTCTCCTACAAATCCCCTCCAACCCAACATAGATCACATAGATGGAAAGAGAACACTGTTAAAAAGGCAACACACTATACAATTGTGAGGAACCGCCTTTGATGTTGTGCTATCTTACGCTAGATTAACAACAGAAGTTGGTAATTCCACCCCCCCCCCCCCCAAGCACGACTAGCACTCTAACAGCATCAGTACATGGTACAAGTCTGCAACTGTAAGGGACTTCGAGCAATGGCAAGACTTGTTGTGAACAGCAAAGTCACAGGCTTTGACAAAAAGTTATATTTAAATCCTCCACTTCTTTCTAACAGTTGGTGGTTAGCTTAAGAAAGATTCAAAAGATAAGGCAACAAGAAACAAGGGAAAAAATGATACAGCTAATAAGGATTCAAAATTCCAATATATATCAAGAAATTTATCATATAGATTTAAAATATGTATCTCATCTTCATTCTAAATAGCATAAATTATATAATAAAAAAAAATAAGGATGCAGATAATAACCAAAATAACATGAAAGTTTTAAATAAATAAATAATAAATTTGTAAAAATCGGAGCACCATGAAATAGTTTCCCTTTTTCTAGAAAGGCGGATTTAAATGAAGTTTAGGCTATTTAGTTAGTCTTCAAAGCCAAATTTTTAAAGTTGATATAAACAAGAAGCCGGTCTTATTTTATAAACCATTATTAGACAAGGGTCAAGGACAAGAGGAGTGGTAAGATATCCTAACTTCCATCCTTAACGCAAGGGTTGGATCGTAGTAGGGGACAAGGCAAGGGGTTTAAAGAAGTGGAGGAACGAAAGGGGCAAGCCTCTTTATCCGAGAGATAGGTCCCAGCCTGGGCCTAAATGTATCTACCCAAAAGAAAAGCTATCCAAATGGGTTTTGAAATGTTTGATGTGGTAGTATAATTTCACATGCATTAAAAAAAAAATTTTAAAAAATCTGAATTTTGAAGGAATGCAGTACTGCATATTAAAAATCTGTTGTGAAGCTAGTTGGTTTAAAATGCAACTTGCTAATGCAAAAGTAGATATGGGAAGGATGAAATCAGTAGATTAAATTTTCCCTGCTTACAGAAAAAAAAAATTAAAAAAAAAAAAATAATTAACAAGTAAATAAAAGTTCAAGTAAATTTTCCTTGTCACTTGATTCGCTGATTTCCTACTACTTCCTTCGTTCCTTTTAAGTAGCAACCAAGTGAAGTGGCTTAAGAAAATAAAGACTGAAGAGAGAGAGGGGGAGGGGGTAGGAGAATTCATGAGATTATGTGAATAAAGAACACCTTTTGCGGTAATTTTATAGGTTCAAAGTTACCTAGAAAGGCTTGGTTGCAAGTTTGCAAATGACACGACATTTCCATGAAAGGGAAATGTTGCGAATAAAAGAAAATGGAGAAAGTATAAGGTACCTAGTTTAAATTAACATTTATTGCCTTTCCAGATTGAATTCCATATCAGGCATTGTCTAGAAATTTCAGACAAACTAGCATCAGAGAAATTGTGGAAAAAAAACCCCATCCTTTTTTTACCATCGGCAAAATTAATGATTCATGACAAACTCCACCAAGGCTAACAAAGATCCACATTATTATTATGATTGATTTGTTTGCTGCTCCAAGACATTATCCTTAGTTGTACTGGACAGAAATGTTGCATTTGAAATGTCAAGAGTGGATTAGTCATTTAGGAAGTGTTTGGTTCAATTGGTTGGGTCTTTTTTTTTTAATCATATAACGGTATAACCTAATACTAGAGGGACTCTACTTTCTAGCTTCACCCAATTCCCCTTTACCTCACAACCACCTCAGCCCCTAAGATTATAATTCCATTCGACCCCAGATACAAAACCTAAATCACAAGAGGGAGAGGGGGGAGAAGCTTTGAGGTGCAGACACAATTTTTCAACTTTCAACTTTGACAAGGCATGGCCGGACAATCATCCCTCTTCTTCGCTAGCGTTGGGTGAATTATTGCCTGTTTCTTTGTGCTAATATTGGATCTGTGGTTTATTCTTCCCTAATTTGTTGTTTGTAGCCAACTGGATTCACTTTACACAAATTTGGGGCCGGTTTACTTTTTCTGGAGAAAAAGAGCTGCTAGTTTTGGATGTTTCATCTGAATTTAAAGTTAAGATCTTTACTTGATAATTGATGTGTAACTTAGAAATATTTAAGCCATTTCTTTCTATTGTTCTTCCCTGGAATCTTTTAGAAATCATTCCAAATGAAATCTAACAATAATAAACATACCTTAGTGTGATTTTGTTTCATTTGTTTCGATGTTAAGTTTCCAAATATCTATTTTTTTTTTAATTTTCTTATAATACAACAACAGCAAAGCCTTTTTAATTTCCTTATAATATGTTTATTAAAGTATTTATGCTTAAAGCAACGAAAACTGTGCAAAAAGTGACATGGACAATATACAGAAACAAAGGGAATATTTTACTACACAATAATTTAGTAATGATATAAACTTGGGATGCATAATTTTGGTATCTTTGCTAAGGCCCTGTTTTTTTAGACTTATTTTGACTTGGTATTTCAGACAAAATAAAGTCAGATAAGTTCAATCAAAATAAGTTAAAATAAGTTCGTGCAAAATAATTTTTACAAATTTATACACAAATAAGCTTATTAGACAAAACAACCTCAAGTAAAATAAGAATATGTTTTCCTCGCCTGAAAGAAGGTATATTCTGATCTGATTTCAATAAGGGCTTGATTGGTACGACTCTGGTATGGTCTAATATACTAGTTTGGCTAAATTTTGATCATATATTTACACTAATGTATAAGAAAATATGTTATCAAATGAAATTAAAGATAATTGAAAACTAAAAGTTTAATTTACACATATTTGCATTTAAGAAGAAATAATGGTACTTATAACTAAATAAAAAAAGTAAACTTGACATAGAATTCATTCCAAGCAAGTGAGACAGACAACAGGATTAGAACATAGAATCCATATAAAAACTGAACCAAATAATTCCAGATTAGCATGGGGTTCTGAATCCAAAAAAAACGACCCCTACTAAGTGTGGAAAAAAACAAGACATAATTTAAAAAGGGGAATATATAAATTGGTACAACGGTAACAATGATGCCAGATTTAATATTGGTAGAGTTTAAGTGACAGCAGAGAGAGAGAGATGATTTCAATACATTGTGTTTGTCTCAAATCTCAAAAGTGTTAGAGAAGCAGGCAGGAGAGTACATAAAGACAATGACGCTAAGTAAAAATAAAGGACTTTCCAGACACATACTAGTCCCCAACAAGATTATTAAATAAAGTTGTTTGTACAAAGACTTCATAAGGTCCTTACCCAGATGCACAAAAGGTGCAACAGCTAAGGTAATGTTAAACCAACCTGCAACATGACAGGCTCACAGTGTATATAAAACCAACAGATGTGATTCATATCATTCATCCAACAACACAATTGTTAGTCGACTACATATGCAAATTCTTTGGATATTTAAAGTCAGATGTATGCACTTCACGGTTTCAACTCTGTCTCTAGGTATTTGCATACTCAGCCAACAGGCCCCAGATAATATAGTAACACAGCAATAGTTATAGCCCCTCTCTCTCTCTCTCTCTCCCTCCCCCCCCCCCCCCTCCTCTTTCTCTCTCTTGAAAATACTAAAATAGAGATTAAAATCACCAATTATAAGACAAAGGAGTAAGGCAATTGTTTTTATACATAGAAGACAATGCAGCAGGTCCTAGCATGCGTCTAGATTATAATTTAAGTCCAGGTAGCAAGAGAACATAAAGTATCAATAAATACATAAGCTGATTCACATAACAAAATCATGACATGCAATTTGTCATCCATTTTCCAGCAACTGAATATCAAATAGTAAAAGAAAAAATAGCACATTAGATGCATAAAGGTGGTAACTTACTTGGACCAGCTCACTGTGGATGGATCAAGACCATTGGCAGCAGCCCTGCCAGGACTCCCAAACAAAAGTTTGCTCTCAGAAGCTTCCTCTGTAGGACTAGCAGGAAGATTGAGTTCACTGCTACACAGTGGTGGATAAAAAGCCTTCTGCATCCATTGATCTTGATCATTAGAGCTGGAAGCTGAGACACCAAAGGCACTATAACTTTGAGCATTTCCCATGGTGGCCTTCTGAGGTGAATGTGTTCCTGAAGCAATACGGCTCTCGTTTGTAAACAAAGAAGCCATGGTCTTCTGCGGTGATTGATGCATCATGTCTTCACTGTTCAGTCTGCTTCGCTCTAGAGGTGAAATCCAACTGGCAGAACCACCAACCAAGCTTAACCCATCAGGACCAAGTGGAGAAGAATTCCACATATGCCATGTTCCCTTATCATTGATATTATCATTCATGTCAGCAGCTGGAAAAAAGTGCATATCAAGGCCCCTTGGACTACTAGAGAAGTGGCTATGGTTATTTGGCTTTTCATCAGCAACTCTCAGTCGCGACAATGGAGATTCGATGGGAGAAGGCCTGGTAACATCCAAAGGAGTGGAAACATTTATCATAGGACAAGAATTTCCAATTCCATCTTTTACAAAACTATTGCCACGGTCTAGCTGAAAATTATCAAGTGATTCTGAAACAGGGCCAAGAAGTGATACAGGATCGGGTTCATAACACGGGTCCTCAAAATGCTCTGGCTCTTCCATGAAAAAATCATGAGACATGTCCGAAACACTAGGAAAAAATGGATCCTTTGCAACAGGTGGGCTAGAATTATTAGTCAGGGGCCCACTTGAAAAGGCAGGCAGCATAAATGGAGATGGCAAATTAATTGGGTTATCATAAAGCGGTGTAGAGGATACTGAGCAAGGTAGCTGAGAACTTTGACTAACTTGAGACTTTGCAGAGTTTGCACTTGGTCTGCTAATTACATTAGGATGGGAGGGAGGAGCTTGAGTAAATAATTGCTGCCATGACTTTGGTTGTGTTTTATGTTGTATATCTGAAGAGACCTGAAGCACAGACAGATTAAGCTTATCAACAGACCGACTATAAATTGCAACACACATAAAGTTCCTATACCTTGATAAAAAGAATGTATAGGCTACGATGTCAACTAAAGCAGAACAGCATTCCCTCCCCACCCTCAACCCTAATAAAAGAGAAAAGGGAATAACCAACATATCAGCAAACAAATAACCATATGACTTACAGGGCGAGTATGGCTCTTATCATCTGCATTCATAATAGTTTTCCCAGGTAGATGCTCTGGCGGAAGAAAATCACGTTTGCTGTTTGAAACTAAGGAATTTTCAACAGAGCTATTGGGCTTCATTTCTTTGGAAGCAGGAACATGAGATGGGGCAGCTTTGCCAAAAAAACTACTGCCAGTAAGTGCCTTTGAAGAAGACAAGAAAGTACCTCTCACACGGTCAAAATATCTAGCACCAACATTCACTCGGCTAAAATTGTTTGTAGAATTACCTTTTGCTCCATAACCTGCTTCAGTGTTCTGACCCTTCACACCATCTACACCAGACTTCGGCGACTCCCGTCGATCAGTCTCATGTTTTCTTTCAGTATCCCGTTTCCGGTCATTTTCCTTCCCTGATTTCTTTTCCAACTCATCCACATCAGAGTTGCTTTTACTAGATCCTTTGTCTTTTTCCTTTCTTCGCTCCTGCCGCCTTTTCTCAGCTTCCCTCTTACTATCTTTCTCCCTCAATGAAGAGGTTCCTTTAGCACGATTTTCAGCTTCTATCTTTTCATCTCGCAACTTCCTGCGCTCCTCAACCAATCTTGCCACCTCCTCCCTTTGCTTTCTTTCTTCCTCCTCCAAGAGTTCTCTTTCTATTCTAGCTTGCCTCTTCTCTTCAGCTTTCCTACGAGCTTTCTCACCTCTGCTCTCCTGACCTGTGCTGCCATTCTCACCCTTTTTGGACATCCCCCCTCCATGATCACCATCTGATGAAGAATCCTCTGAAGAACTAATCCTAAAAAGCTTCCTCCAAAGCCACCTTATACTCAGCAAAAATGATGTCAAGAGTTTGCAACTGAAAAGATAAACACCCGAATAAGACTTCTCAGCGAGGCACGATTCACTTCTTCCATACAATCCAACACCATTTTTCCGGGGCGGAAAAGAAGCCTTAACTGGAAAAGAGCCATTCACCACCCAACTCCCATTCTCTACCCATTCTTGACTACAGAGCGAAACATTATCCGACCAAGGCTTCCCATTCAATATCTTCCCACCTTTACCAAGCAATTCCTTAAGAATTCCAGAATTCGAAATACCAGGCGGAACAGGCAAGTCAAGAACCGGTCTTTTTGATATATGCCCACAATACGAACACATAAATTTTCCCCCACCAGGATTCTGATCCCGATAAGGTGTCAAGCAGTTCCTACACTTCCTAGTAGCAGTTTTCTTCAGCTTTTGCAGCTCCAATGCCTCATTCCTCTTCCTCTCCCTCAAACGGGCATTCCTCCTAACCCGCCAAGCCGACAACTGTGGCATCAAAACCTCATACCAGAACAAAGTAACCAACAACACAAACACACAAGCCAATCTCGGGGACGTAATCTCAAACCTAAAAGCCGGCGGTAGTAGCTGAGACAAAGCCCATAGGCCGATAAGCGGAATAACTAACCAAGGCAGCATAGTAGCAACCCTGCGCGACCACTTCTGAATCACACAGAACATACACATTATCCCCCTTAACCTACACCTATCTTCCCCACAATTGTATCCAGCGATATAAACCCTAACAACAAGAATTTCAAAAATCCCAGCTTCTTATCCAAATCCTTCAAAGATTCAAACTCTTTCCGTTTTACAAAATTAACAACTTACTAACCCTAATTCATCAATACCCTTTTCCGCATTCAACGCGCAAGATCAAAGAAACCCCTAATCACACGGCAATCATAAAATAAAATTCCAAAATTTTCAATTGATTGATTAATCGCAATACCTAGGGTTTTCAATCGAGCTGTGAAATTCTCTGGCACCCATTAAAATTAAAAAAAAAAAAAAAAAAATAAGAGTTAAAATTAATAAATAAAAATGGTTGAAAAAAGAGGGAAAAGAGAGAGAAACTTACGAATTGATGAAGATAACAGCGCCTAAGATTGAAAGTTGGTGAAATTGGCGAAACGTTTCGATTGTTTGGAATGTGAGAAATGTTGCAGAAAGAAAGAGAGAGAAGAAGAAGAAGGTGAGCAAGCGAGTTGAGGCTGAGTCGACTCGGATGAGAAGGGGCAGCTACGGCGTTTGCTTTGCTCGTCTTTCGGTTTTTTTTATTTTTTTGGTTCAATTTGGTTTTTCTAAGGAAAAAGATAGTGTAACTTAAACAGATAAGTCGATATGTTCATATGATATGCGAGCATTTTTTTTTTTTTTAAAATAAATATTAAAAATAAAAAAATTGAATTTTAATTATGGAAATATATATCGATATCTATGATTAGAGAAGTGACTTAAGTAAATTTATGTGTCACGTGAAACATATATAATCATACACAAACTATTGGGTGTGGCTAGCACTGTCAAAACAGTTTGACAGTTCGGTTTCGGTTCGGTTTGAAATCGGTTCGGTTTGAAATCGGTTCAAATGTCTTACGGGTCGGTTTCGGTTCGGTTTAAATAATTATCGGTTCGGTTCGGTTTCGGTTTATTCTTGAACGGTTTAAATTCGGTTCGGGTTATAAACGGTTCGGTTAGTAAACGATTCGGTGCAAACGGGTTGCGGTTTGTTAACGGTTCGGTGTAAACGGTTTTTAACCCGGTTTAAATTCGGTTCGGGTTGTAAACGGTCCGGGTTGTAAACGGTCCGGGTAGTAAACGGTTCGGTGCAAACGGGTTGCGGTTTGTTAACGGTTCGGTGTAAACGGTTTTTAACCCGGTTTAAATTTGGTTCGGGTTGTAAACGGTTCGGTGTAAACGGTTTTTAACCCGGTTTAAATTTGGTTCGGGTTGTAAACGGTTCGGTGCAGACGGGTTGCGGTTTGTTAACGGTTCGGTGTAAATGGTTTTTAACCCGGTTTAAATTCGGTTCGGTTTGTAAACGGTGCGGGTTGTAAAAATTCCAGGTAGTAAACGGTTCGGTGCAGACAGGTTGTGGTTTGTTAACGGTTCGGTGTAAATGGTTATTATCCCGGTTCAAACAGTTTCAGGTTGGAAACGGTTCGGTTGTTTTTTGGTTTAGTTTTATTTTAGTTCGGTTATAACTGGTTCGGTTCGTTCACAGGTTTGGTTCTTCTACGATTTAACATTATTTAGATCGGTTTTATTTCAGATTTACTAAATTACGGTTCGAGTCTGTTTTTGATTTCAAAAAATTTTGTACTACTTTCTAACTTTTTGCTAGTTAACAAGTTTTATATCAAGCCGAGACTTCATCACTTCATATTGAGGCATCATATTATATGCAAATTCTCATTAATTTTATAAATACATATCATGTTATGATTTAAGTTTAGCTATACTGATCTTACTAGTTTATTATGAAGTAGATTATAAAAGTTTAGTGCATTAATGTATTATTGTTTTACTATCAGATTATTATCTGCTTCTGATTTGATCATTTAGTTAATAGTGTCATAATCATGATTTGATGAGTTGTTGTGACATCGAAATTTGCAATTTGGTATTCGATACTTAATTAGTCAACAAGACTGATAATTAAGACTCGTTTATCATTATATATTTGCATAAAGTTATACATGAAGATATTACAGAGTAGTTTGATTTGTATAATGAAAGAAAACATTAATGAAGAAGAAGGTAATGTTGATTCCTTCAATCGATTATACAGATACATAACATATAACCATCTCATATTCTCATAGTTAGATATTATTAGTATAAAGGGATGAGAAACATAAGATTATTATATTTTTGTATATCCTTTACTGGTTTACCCTTAAGGCTTAAGTCACTAATTAGTAATTAGTAATTACTTAATTAGACTAACAAGTTAATCAAAAAGAGTAACTTTTAACTTGAGTCTAGTAAATCAAATACTGAAATGGTATTAGTATATTACCGAGTATGATAGTTTAGTACGCTGCTAATCTGTTATGCATCTATGCTAAATTGACAATTGCTCATATAGTCATATTAGTCAATCACTCATGTAGACATAACTCATATCTAATTAAGTAATTTGTATTTATGTACTAATCTACTAGTCAACTATATCATTTATAAGTTTACACGATTACAAGTGTATTGCTTATAGGTACAGCTAAACTGATATAAATATAACCATATAACAAATCCGTAGTACTTCTAACTCTCTAAGATATGACATCATTATTTATTGAACAATTTTCGATTTTTTATTAATCGCAACGCCTAGAAATTACACGCTAACCGATTCACATTTTATAATTTAAAGAACTTAATATTTTAATGTGTGTGTTAAAAAAAATTATAAAAGCTGATATTATGAAGGTGAATATCGTTTTATCGGGATCCGAGAAATGTAATTAGTTTTTTTTTTAAGTCATGTAATTAATTAATTGTATAAAAGTTTGTTTAATGTTATTAAAATAAAATTAAAAATTTTGATTTTTACAAAGTGGAAAATTAATTTCATTTTTTTGGTTGACAATTTCAACAAAATATGGTGGGAAATTTCCCTCCAAAAACCAAAAGGAAAAACACATTTTAGATTTAGAATTTAGATATTTTGATTCTTTAATAATTAAATAAACATGTGGTTCATATATTATGCAAAAGAGAAAAAAAAAATAAAAAAAAAAAAGTGAAACGTGAAACTGTGAAAGACTGAAAGGCAATTAGGTTCTTCATTCATCCTCTTCATTCATCCTCTTCATTCCACAGCATTCACCGTTCTTCTTCTTCATCCTCAAATCGAAGCGTTGAATCCTCACTCACTCTCAAGTTCTCAACTCTCAAGCTCTGAACTCTTAGCCTTCAATAGCTCAAAGGTAAATTTTAGTTAATTGTTTTTGTTTTCGTTTCGTTTTTTTCGATTTTTTTTTCGATCTCTCCATTCTCGTTTTTTTTTTTCATTCTCCAGTTCTCCATCTTCAAATCTTCCTCTCCTTCAAGCCGTCACTGCTCAAAGGTAATTTTATGTTAATTTTTTTGTTTTCATTTCGGTTTTATGTTGCTGATTCGTTGTTTGCAGGATTTGCATGTCTTTATTTTTTGATTTTTACTTCTGATTTGTTCATATAATTTCATATAATTTCTGATTTGTTCATATAATTTCTGATTTTTTGATGTTGTTCATGTAATTTTTAATTTTATTGTTCTTGTTGTTCATTTAATTTCTGATTTTTTAATTTTATTGTTCTTGTTGTTCATTTTTTGTTATATCTATTTGTGAGGTGTTCTGGCCTTACCAGCTTTGGCTATGCTCAGTTCTGATCAGGGTTGTGGTTGTAGTACCATGAGCAACAATTGAGTTGATTTGGTTACCTTATTCATGCTCGTGGTTTCTTTTCGTGTTATTAATTGTGCTTGGTTTTTTTCAGGCTGTTGTGTTGTTGCTGGTCTGCCTTTGTGACTGTTTGCTGTTTGTTGAGCATTTAAAATGTATGGCTTTGTCTATAATGCTCTATTAGTCTTCAAATATACTGAATGCTATCCTTTGTTCTATCAGCTGCATTGTTCTCTCATTAGTGTTTCTGTTTATGTGGGTTAATGCTGAATGCTAGCAGGATTTTTTGATTTAAGTTTGGGTTTTGTTTTGTTGCAAAAGTGCAAGTGCATTCAGATAGGAGTTGTCTAATAGTGTTTAGTATATTTTAGGACTGAATTGTAGATGGACTACCTCAGCTTAGAGCATGTAGTACTAGCTAGGGTTTGTCCTGTGCTGCTGCTGTTCTAATGTCTGGCCAGATCTGCTAGATGTACAAGGCTAGATTGTAGGATCTGCTGGGTGTTTTCTGCCCTGTTCAGAGCAGAGTCTTTATGGCCATGGTTTGTGATGTCCTAGTTGATGTCTCTGCTGCAGGCTGGGTGCTGGGGTTGGTTGCTGCTGGTTTTCTAGGGTATTGCAGCTGTGGTTTTGCTGTCGTCTTGTGTTAGCTGGGCTGTGTTGTCTGTCTGTTGTTGGGCTAGGTTGCTGGTGTGCTTTGCTTGAAGCAAGCAGGTCCGGAGCTGCTGTGTTAATTTGCCTATTTTTTTTTATTTGCCCTTAATTTGCCTTTTTTTTCACTTGATTTATACTGTTGTGTTTTTGTTTTTTCAGCAATGGAGCAAGAGTTTATTGGTTTTGATGAGGATTCCACTGTAAAGAATCAAGATTCTACTGTTCAGAATCAAGATTCTACTCAACGTACCACTAGTGGTAGTAAGCGTGGACGAACATCAGATGTTTGGAGGTATTACACCTTTTTTGATAAGATGGTTGGTCTTGCTCCGATAAAATATGCTCGATGCAATGTTTGCGGTAATGAATATAAAACTCCAGGTAATGCTGGTACTTCAACTTGTAAAGCTCATACTAAGACATGCATGAATAAAAATCCACACCATCCTGGAAATCATGAAAGTGGTGTTGAGCTCCTGTTTAATCAAACACGTCATTTACAATTGCTTGCTAGAGCTATAATTTTGCATTCCTATCCTTTAAGTATTGTGGAGCATCATGGCCTTAGGGAAGTTTTTACGAATTTGAACCCCAACGTGAATCATGTGTGTAGAAACACTATTTTGAAACATTGTATTGATGAGCATGATAAGTTAAGTCTTTGTTGTTGCAATCTTTTTCGGGAATTGAAGGTAGAGTTAGCTTCAATTGTGACTTGTGGACAGCATGTACTAATCGAGGTTATCTTACTTTAACGGCACATTATGTTGATAAAAATTGGTGTCTTAGGTCTAAAATTCTGAATTTTAGATATTGTGGTCCTCCTCATACTGGTGTTGAGGTAGAAAAATTTGTGTTAAAACTTATTGGGGAGTGGAACCTTCAGGGTAAAGCTTTTGCAATGACTGTTGATAATGCTCGATCCATGGATGTTATGGTTAACCTTTTGAAGAAAGATTTAATGTTGACTTCTCCTCTTCCTTGTAATGGTAAATTTTTTCATATTCGATGTTCAGCTCATGTCTTGAACATTATTGTTCAAAGAGGTTTAAAAGAAGTTGATAGTAGTGTTCAAAAATTGCGTGAGGTTTGTAAATATATTGATTCTTCAGATTCTAGACTCACTCAATTTGAGCATGCTCTTCATGAGGTTAACTGTGTGTTTAATGGAAAGTTACGTCTTGATGTTGTGACTCGTTGGAATGCCACATATACGATGATTCGAAAAGCTTTGGAAGCAAGGAAGCCTTGAAATTGGTTATTGATAGGTTTATAGGTTATGAATTCAAACTTTCGAATGATGAATGGGATACCCTTACTAAAATATGTAATTTCCTAAAGCCATTTCATGA